CATTTTCCTTTTACAGATGAGGAAAAAGGTTCATGAACTTGTCCAAAGTCACACAGCCTTTGACTCTAGCTACAGAGTCCTTATTTTGAACCGCTTCACCAGTGCTTCTCAAACGTTACTGCACATTAGGATCCCTGAAAACTTAAAAAAAAAAACCAGGATGCTTGGGTCCCACCCTCAGATTCTGATGGAACTGTAATTCCACCTTGGTGGAAGCTATATGGAGAAGATAGCAGGAGCCTGGGAGCAGGAGGACTGCAGAGCTGTCTATCATAACAGTCCTGGACTGGCTACACTCACAAGAATGTTTCAGCCGCATGGTAGCCTCTATTCCTCGAGGCTGAACATAACTCCCATACACAGCAGAATTTTAAGATATGACAAAATGCATTTACTGAAAAACATCTACACATTATACTTTTTCTTTTTTTGAGACGGAGTTTCGCTCTTGTTGGCAGGCTGGATGGAGTGCAATGGTGCAATCTCAGCTCCCCACAACCTCCACCCCCCAAGTTCAGGCAATTCTACTGCCTCAGCCTCCCAAGCAGCTGGGACTACTGGCATGCCCCCACCACGCCCGGCTACATTTTGTATTTTTAATAGAGATAGGGTTTTGCTATGTTGGCCAGGCTGGTCTCAAACTCCTGACCTCAGGTGATCTGCCCGCCTTGGCCTCCCAAAATGCTGGGATTACAGACGTGAGCCACCGCGCCCGGCCCACATATTCAAACACTCAGCCTACCTTTTTTAGGTATGGTTAGGCCAGGTGTGGTGGTTAACGCCTGTAATCTCAGCACTTTGGGAGGCTAAGGCAGGTGGATCATGAGTTCTGGAGTTCAAGACCAGCGTGACCAAGATAATAAAACCCTGTCTCTACTAAAAATACAAAAATCAGCTGGGCGTGGTGGTGGGTGCCTGTAATCCCAGCTACTCAGGAGGCTGAGGCAGAGAATTGCTTGAACCCAGGAGGCAGAGGATGCAGTGAGCTGAGATCCAGCCATTGCACGCCAGCCTGGGCAACAGAGTGAGACTCCGTGTCAAAAAAAAAAAAAAAAGTGGGTAATAAAGTTAAGTCATTTACAAATTGTCTGTTTAAAAATGTTTTAGTGTATTTGTGGGCCACAGTCGATGCTGAGGTTATTAAAGCAGCCGTGACAGTGGACAGCCTGGGGGCTCTATCTGAATGATGCCGTATCAAGTGCCCACTGAGGCCTGTAGGGATAGTACATTTGCATAAGATGACTTTCATCCACACGTTACTGCTTGATTTTTAAAAGGTTTTCAAGTTTATTCATTAGAAATCATAGTTCTCAGATTTTATTGCTATTTTCACTTTGAGAAGACTTCTGTCCTATCATGGTGGGTTCAGAGACTGGTAACCTTGAAATTAAATACCTTTAGAAAACATTATTTCAAGATGTCCCTGTCCCCATCCCTTCATTACACAGTGTGGTACTGGGAGTGGTGTATATTCTGAAGTTCTCCAGAAAAAAAATGATTCCAGATACTCATAGAAACAGAACTCAAACAATTAGTGAAAGAGATAAAGTTCAAGCAACTGGCTATTATATTAGATGGAACTAGAGGGTAAGAAGTGTAAACCACATAAAATTTAACACAGAAAGCAAGCCTAGGCCAGGCACAGTGGCTCACGCCTATAATTCCAGTGCTTTGGGAGGCCAAGGTGGGAAGATCGCTTGAGGCCAGGAGTTCTGAGACCAGCCTGGGCAACACGGTGAAAGCCCACCTATACAATAAATAAATTATCCAGGTGTGGTGGCTTGCACCTGCAGTCCCAGCAGAGGCAGAAGGATGGCCTGAGCCCAGGGAGTTCAAGGCTGCAGTAAGCTGCTACCGTGCCGCTGCAATCCAGCCTGGGTGACACAGTTGGACTCTCTGAGAAAACAAAAAGCCAGCCAGCCAGCCAGCCTAGGCCAGGCACAGTGGCTTATATCTGTAATTCCAATACTTTGGGAGATCTAGGCGGGAGGATCACTTGAGGTCAGGAGTCTGAGACCAGCCTGGGCAACGCAGTGAGACCCCATCTCCACAAAAAATTAGATGGGAATAGTGGTGCATGCCTGTGGTTAGTCCCAGCTACTCGGGAGGCTGACGTGGGAGTTCACTTGAGTCCAGGAGTTCAAAGCTGCAGTGAGATCTGATGGCACCACAACACTCCAGCCTGGGCACCAGTGAGACTACCTCAAAAAAATAAAATTTTTAAAAAGCAAGTTCATGGGACACATATTCTCAAGATTTCCTGAGGGCTGCGTCACCAGCCAAAAAATAAAAATAATTTTAAAAAATTAAAAATGAAGCAAGCTATGATCCAAGCTTCCAAACAAATCAACTACCCCCAGGGGTAAGAATCTGGCAGTATTTATAAACATTAAGCTTTAGGGGGAAAATAAAAAAGTTTTAAAAACGTAAGTTTTAAGCCACGCTGCCGGCTGTCTCTGGAGATGTCAGAGCTAGGTCTGTATCCTGGCTGTCACTTCCTGTATGACCCTGAGCAAGAAAATTACTTAACCTCTCATGCCTTCTCCTCATTTTGTAGATGAGGCGCTAGCTACATACTCAGGACTATAGAATTAGATGAAGGCATGAAGTGTGGTGCCTGGCACAGATGCTCAGTAATGGTGGCTATTATTGGCTAATCTCAAACTCAGCAGAAACCAACGGTACGACAACTTACATCAGTAGTAGCGGATCTAGGGAGACTGTTACCTCTCTAGCCTATTTTGTCTCCCTTTGATCACATTCAACATTTGACGCTTGTTCATGTACACAGAACACTCGCTCGCCCCTAGAGGTTTCAACGGTCCGGAGGGGCGGGGGGCAGAGGCCAAAGCTTCCCAAGCGCAGCCAAGCTTGAAGACCACTCCTCTACTTCCATTATATGAAGCACAGGTGAAGTTACAAAAGGCAGATGACTGTTCTAGATGAAAAGTGGCCAAAGAAAGCCAGGCACAGTGGCTCATGCCTGTAATCCCGGCAGTTTGGGAGGCCAAGACAGGTGGATCACTTGAGGTCAGGCATTTGAGACCAGCCTGGCCAACATGGTGAAACACTATCTCTATTAAAAATACAAAAATTAGCTGGGCGTGGCGGGGGTGGTGGTACGCACCTATAGTTCCAGCTACTTGGGAGGCTGAGGCAGAATTGCTTGAACCTGGGAGACAGAGGTTGCAGTGAGCTGAGATTGCATCAATGCACGCCAGCCTGGGTGACAGAGCAACACTCCGTCTCAAAAAAAAAAAAAAAAAGTGGCCAAAGACAAATGAAACACATGATACTTAATTAATCTTGGGTTGGGGAGGCTATAAAAGTCATTTTGGAAATTTTAATATTGTATTATCAGATATTGTGATATTGTTATTTATCTTGTGTGCTCACAGTATTGTGGCTACACAGAACATCTGTATTATAAAAAGCCTGCTCAACTATGTAGGGGTGAAATACCATGATGCTTGCATCCTACTTTCAAATGATCGTGACACTGTATATAGTAACAGAAAGCACATACAGCGGATGTTAAACACCAGCAAAGGGTATACAAAATAGTTGCTTACTCTTTTAACTTTTACATACACACACACACACACACACACACACACATATATATGTATATTTTTAAATAAAAACCTCATACTAACACTCAGCCCACAGTCACCACACTGTGAATTATGTGACGGCTAAGCCCACACTAGCTATTAAAGCATCACTACTTTCCTATTGTATGGTTCTCCTGTTCATAAAACACTCAGTGCTGCTGTCTCACAACATGTGTCTACACAAAACTACCCAATAAAAACTGCAAGGCCTATAGAAAAATGGGTTTAGGTGTTCAACACTCAAAATCTTTGTGACACATAAAAAGGTAGCAGTTTCATATATGTCAATGGTTAAGAAATAAAGCAGTCTACCTTGACCTGCACTCTGCAGGCAGAAACCCACTGGACAGCCCACCCAGCTCCCACACCTACCACCCTGTGTGAAGAGGAAGAGAACAGAAGACAAAGTGAGAGAAAAGACAGAGAAAATGAAAAAAGATGAGGTTGGGCGCGAGGTTCATGCCTATAATCCCAGCACTTCGGGAGGCTGAGGCAGGCGGATCACTTAAGGTCAGGAGTATGACACCAGCCTGGCTAACATGGTGAGAGCCCATCTCTACTAAAAATCCAAAAATTAGCCAGGCTTGGTGGCACACACCCAGATACTGGGGAGGCTGAGACAGGAGAACTGCTTGAACCCAGGAGGTAGAGGTTGCAGTGAGCCAAGGTCCCGTCACTGGACTCCAGCCTGGGCGAGAGTGAGACTCCTGTCTCAAAGAAGAAGAAGAAAAAAAAAAATTAGAGGTAAAATACAAATGAGGTTGAAAGAGGAGAATAAAGAGCAGAGTGTGAGGCAGAGCCAGGATGGCCAATGGAAGGGCTTCAGCCGGCAACCATGAGATGAGGCGCGCGGTTCTCTGGAATCAGATGGGGGTACACCACACAGGGACGTGTGCCACGTGTTCCTATGCAGCTCAGTTCAACTGCGGTGCTTCTGTGTTCGCCTAGTGCTTCCCACAGGCAAAATTCCACATAAATCCACGTTACGCTCAGAGCATGCTAGCAGAACTGCCCCTGCCAAGGGCGCTGACTTGGCCCTCTCCTCAACCCTAGACCGCAGGCCTGCTTCTGTCCCGATTTCTACCACCCGCGAAGCTCTAGCACTGCTCCCTCCAAACTGATCCTTCTTTAAAGGGAAAGGATATGGATCAGTGTATCAAGCTAAGGAAGTGGATATAGGTGGTTTATTTTCAGTTGCCAGGCAGGTCACCTGGAAAGGGCTCATGGTCTAGGCAAACTGTGTCAGCCACTATCTACCAAGAACGAACAAGCCCTGCCACTTCCACCTCCCAAGTCTCAAGAGTAAAAATTCTTTTCGACTTTGTGATCAGAAAGAAATAAGTCCAATATTCAAGATTTTTCCACCATTTGTCCAAAGACAAACCCTTTTGTACCAATCTTTATGTATTATTTATTCACACATTTGATAAAAATGTCACAGTTAGGAGTGAAATCATTACAATGACATGAGTAACTGTACAGACCCCAAGTGCAGAATCAAATTGCCGTAAGTCAGAACATGGAGCAACCGCAACTCCTTTGCACCTGTGCATGTGTGCACACACACGGATGGACACACACACACATTCTCTCTCTCTCTTATGCACACATCCATCCACATCCCAACAATTGCAGGTGCTAAGTTTGGACACAACCCAGGCACTCTGCCCTGGCTAGTCAGGTCCTGGGGAAAAGACAGAAGTAATGAATGAAAAGCAGCTGGAACTCGATGCATTTCTCTTCTCTTCCAGCAATGAGCGGAGAAGGCAAGACACACACTGGGGCAGCTGCTTCCTTGGCACAAAAATGAACAGTCAACAAGAAGGTCAAGGAAGCGTTTAAGTTAGTCTCAGGTTTAAATCACTTTTCACCACCACAAAACAGTAGCAAGCAGGGGGGAAAAAAAAAAAAAAACCAACTCTGGCCATCAAGACTCCAGAAAAAAGGGAGGGAGGAGGATTTAAAACTTGATCCCTATTATCCTAACAAATTGCAGCATGACCATCAGCGAAACCAGCTCGGTAAAACTGCAGCATTGGACTGTGACCTTATCTGAACAGTGTAGTTCACTTTTATTTTGGCTCTGAAGAGAGAGAGAAAAACTTTTTAGAGGAACATAATGGTAACATAAACCAAATCTCCACTGTATTAGTATCTGTGGCAAGATTACATCTATGCATTCACACAGCTTGTCTATAGATCTGCGAGCTCCAAGGGAGTGGCCCAGCCCCCATTCCTCTGCCTTTAGCCTTCTGAAAAGAACAAGTCAAACCTGAAATGTGAAAAATAATACCTGAATCAAATTCGTGTTTTCTATACAATGGGACTAAGGTAGAATCCTCAATTCCTCAACTGCTTCTGTTTGACAAAAAAGTTAAAAAATTTTTAAACTAAATTTAAATGTGATGTTTTGAGCATCAAAAAGCTACTATGTAAAAGGATTAGTCTCCCAGTGTTCTTGGTAAGTGGGGAAGGTTAGGAAGGAGGCAATGATCCAATGAATACAGAAGAACTGGCCAATTCAAAGGAAACTTGCTCTGGATAAGGTGAATCAATGGGTGCTATTGTGCAGGCAGGGAGGGAAATTTCTTGGTACAAATTTCATGTCCCTGGCCAGGTATGGCCTAGGAGTTCAAGACCAGCCTGGGAAACAGAGTGAAACTCCATCTCTACTTAAAACAAAAAAAAAATTAATAATAACTTCATGTCCCTAGAGATAAAAGCAAGGTGCGGACAAGGCACTTAACACAACCAAGTATCGTTCACATCTATTCACAACATGATTGTTACCAAGAGCACTCCCAGTGGCCCCTCATCTGAGAGACTCAACCGGCCAACTACACTTTCCAGGTGGACCTGGAGAACTGAAGGAAATCCAAAGCGCTGCACAATCGATGGTGGGATTTGGAATGTCAGCAGAGGAAACTACTCAGAGAAGCAAATGGAGGTCATCCCCTTCTGGCCTGAGGTTAGCGGTTTGTTCCAGATTAGCTCAATGAGACACCGAATTTCAAAAGAGTTGGCCTGAGAATATGACAACACTCCCACAAATGTAGCCTTCTTCTGTTTTGATAAGAGCAATAAGGGCTCTGAATGAAATGGGATATCAGTTATTGAATTTTCTTGCACTGAAGTTACAGCAGACGCCTTCTAATACATGTGGCATGTCCCCTTTCTGGAGCAGAGTGATAAAGGACTGAGACAGGGCTAGAAGCACCTGTCCCTTCTTATCCCAAAGCCTGTCAGGCATACTCAATCTGAGCAGGGCCACAGCTGCCCTCGTTCTTTCGCTCAGAGGACTGGCTGGTGGCCTTGGCTTCACTACTCATTTCCAGAGGTTTAGCCGAGATGTAGTCCTTTACTTTAATCTCCATATTCTTGGCTTTCAGAGTGGCCATGTGCAGCTTCTCCAGGAAATCTGGCATGCCTGTCAGGAAACGAGAATCAGGTTAAGCTGACACACAAACCAACAGTAGGCTCCAAATTAGAAGATCCTATTTATTTGATGGTAGGGAACTAGTTCTTCCTTATAAAGATCACAACCTGATTGATAGCCTGTTGAACAGCTGCCTCCCAGAATGTGTTCCCAAACCATGATCTTTGCTCCTTCTTTGAAAGGGGGTACTAATCAGCCCACTTACGTCCCAAAAAGGATCTTTTAATCTAAATATCACTCATCAGTGGCATGGCTGAAATACCTGCCAATTTTATTGAGATAAATGTCAAACAGAAATACCTAATCTTCTCTCTATTCTGCCCCTGAAGCATGTAAGGAGCTGCCTATAGAGAACCAGAAGAAAGAAAATCACAAGGGTGCTTTCTCCAACAAGAAGGTGGAAGGCAAAGCTGCAGTTACAGCCATGATGTGTAACTTTGTTAAGACAAACGCCCCTTTCCCCAGGTGACTGCCCTATAATCACCATATTTTCTATGTCAGATCTTACGGCCTTCAACTATTCAAGAAGCAAATACAAATATGTCAATCTACACAGTCCATATTTAAGGCATTGAAGCAAATGTTTTTAAAGCTCTCCTCTGGATACAAGTTCCTTTCTGGGACGCTGTAATTCTCATCCCTTCAATCCCCACCTGGAGTCTCTGGTATCTTCATAGTAATTCAAGAATGAACCAGAAAAGGGTTGCGCGCGCGGTGGCTCACGCCTGTAATCCCAGCACTTTGGGAGGCTGAGGTGGGTGGATCACTTGAGGTCAGGGGTTCGAGACCAGCTTGGCCAACATGATGAAACCCTCCCTCTACTAAAAATACAAAAATTAGCCAGGCGTGGTTGGGGCACCTGTAATCCCAGCTACTGAGGAGCCCGAGGCAGGAGAATCGCTTGAACCTGGGAGGAGGAGGTTGCAGTGACCCGAGATCATGCTGCTGCACTCCAGCCTAGGTGACAGTGAGACTGTCTCAGGGGAAAAATTTTAAAAAAAGGAACCAGAAGAGACGTTTTATTTCCCCAATAGGAAATAGAGAAAAACAAAATGCTCAACTCAGCTTCCAGGCCCTGTATACTTGCCCTTACTTACCACTGGAAACCATCCAACTAACACAGTAGCGAGGAAACACCGTTTGGGGATTGTCACTGTATGTCAGTAAGTAGTCAAAGCCATTCTGGAAAAGAAAAACAGCAAAAATGAAGATCCCTGAATCACCCACCACGACCTCCATATCCAGTACCACAGAGTAACTATGATCTGATTCTGGAGCAGGCGGTGTCATTTTCTTTTTTCACCCTGTGCAGTTAACACTGAAGGCCTGAGAGACTATCCACAGAAAGGCCTCCTTGCAATGTTGACCCTGGGCCAACTCGACTCCCACTCAACAGTCAGCTGATAAGGGTGGCTCCCTGTGCGTAGACTACGCTAACAACGTGGTTTATGCTGAACACAGGCTTTGCTTTTAGGGGTTTGGAATTCTGGTATGTGCTAAGCAGACAGCACTAAGTGACCAGCTCCCAAGAAAAACTTTGCGTGTTAGGCTGGGCATGGTGGCTCACGCCTATAATCCCAGCACTCTGGGAGGCCGAGGCCGGCGGATCACCTGAGGTCAAGAGTTCAAGACAAGCCTGGCCAACATGGTGAAACCCCGTCTCTACCAAAAAAACAAAAAGTAGCCCGCCACAGTGGTACACACCTGTAGTCCCAGCTACTCGGGAGGCTGAGGCACAAGAATTGCTTGAACCTAGGAGGCAGAGGTTGCAGTGAGCCAAGATCAAGCCACTGCACTCCAGCCTGGGCAACAGAGCGAGACTCCGTCTCAAAAAAAAAAAAAAATTGGGTGTTGGCTGGGCATGGTGGCTCATGCCTTATCATCCCAGCACTTTGGGAGCCCAAGGCAGGCAGATTACTTGAGGACTGGAGTTCGAGACCAGCCTGGCCAGCACAGTGAAATCCCATCTCTACTAAAAGTTAAAAAAAATTAGCTGGGTGTGGTGGTACGCGCCTGTAATCCCAGTTACTTGGGAGTCTGAGGCAGGAGAATTGTTTGAACCGGGAGGCAGAGGCTGCACTGAACACAGATGAGGTTGCAGTGAGCACAGATTGAGCCACTGCACTTCAGCCTGGGTGACAGAGCAAGACCTTTTTTATCTTTTTTTTTTTTGAGATGGAGTTTCGCTCTTGTTGCCCAGGCTGGAGTGCAACGGCGCAATCTCGGCTCACCACAACCTCCACCTCCCGGGTTCAAGCGATTCTCCTGCCTCGGCCTCCCGAGTAGCTGATATTACAGGCTGAGATAAAACCATTTGGGCCATGAGTTGATAACTGGAGCTGGAGACGGATACATAGGGTTCATTATACTCTTCTACTTCTGTATCTTTTGTATGTATTTCAAATTTTCCATGATAAAAACCCCCTACCTTGGCTCAAAGATCTAATTCCCATTTGGCAAATCCAAACGCAGCTACGTGGTTTTTGAGTACCCTCAGTACACAGTCAACGCAATTTATACTTCTCCCTAACTTCTACCTTCCTTTCCAAGCATGTGAGTCTCTGAGTGCATACCTGGCTCATTCCTATCTTTGTTTTTGCTTGAATCATGTCTTCTAATCCCAGTGCCCTTCCTGCTTTCCTCTGTCGTCCCCATTTTTTTTTTTTTTTACAAGGACCAACTCAAGTCCTTGAGTATAAATAAAACAACTTGATGAGAATAAGAAAACTACACTAAAGAACACAGTCTATATAGCTCTAAATCAAACACAAGCAATAGGGAAAAACAAAGTCATTATAAAGTAAAGTGGAACTAAAACCAGAAGCTACTAGCATCAATATCTATACTCTCAATGGAGATTTAGTCTAAAAAGATCAAAAATAAACACAAAACACATCATTAGGCTGAAATAAGTACTCTTTTCAAATAAAGTCACAGAATTTTTTTTTTTTTTTTTTTTTTTTGAGACGGAGTCTCGCTCTGTCGCCCAGGCTGGAGTGCAGTGGCCGGATCTCAGCTCACTGCAAGCTCCGCCTCCCGGGTTCACGCCATTCTCCTGCCTCAGCCTCCCAAGTAGCTGGGACTACAGGCGCCCGCCACCTCGCCCGGCTAGTTTTCTGTATTTTTTAGTAGAGACGGGGTTTCACCATGTCAGCCAGGATGGTCTCGATCTCCTGACCTCGTGATCCGCCCGTCTCGGCCTCCCAAAGTGCTGGGATTACAGGCTTGAGCCACAGCGCCCGGCCAAAGTCACAGAATTTTAAAGAAGGCACACAGCAGAATCCAACCTTCCCATTTCTCTGGCAAGGAAGCAGAAATCCAGAGAAGTTTCCATCCAGTGCTCCGCCCACTGTGGTGAAATGCTGACAGAAGGTACTCACTCTAGTTCCTGAAGAATGCTGCTGATACAGGCTAACGCGTCAGTGGTTATGATTATTTTAACTGTCTCTCAGATACGAGGGAACCAATGGATTGCCACTACCTTGTCCTTGGGGATCTTCCAGGTACATCACCTACATCGGGCGTTCCCAAAAAATGGTTCCCAGACCAGTAGCATCAGACTCCCCTGAGAACTGCTCCTGGGCCACACCCCCTCCTCCCTAGTTCAGATAAGACATCCCTTGAGAATATTCCACAGCCATGACATATTATTTCTGGGATGAGGTAAAACTCACCTCATCAAATGACTTGTGGGGACGGATAACCATTTGGGACTCATATGATCTGACCCTGACGAATTCTGGAGACTCTGGCACACTCGGATGCTCCACAGCACTGGTAAGGAGGAAAGGAGAAGCAAACTCTTAGTAATGTCTATATATAAAACAACAGGGGAGTTGAGTTAAGGGGAAGGCCTAAAAAGCTGGCTCTGATTTTTTTTTTTTTTTTTTTTTTTTTT